AACCTTTCCTTTGATGGGGGCAGGCATTAAGGTGACTGGGTGTAGTCTTTTTCAAGTCATGAAGGGGCGGACGAGGACAGATACTGACAGCCAGTGATGGGCAGGTGATGGGCGGCAGGCAGATGAGTGGGTTAGTCACATGACTGTTACCATGTTGATGGGGTCTGTGTTAGTCACTGTCATAAAGGGTTGATTAGGCTAATTTTTTTCTTATGCAAATGCTTGAAATAGAAAAGTTAATTAGTACAAAACAAGCTGGGGAGGGGTTGTAAAACAATTATTGATAGCTACCTCTGGGAAACCAGTTCTGTCCTTGGCTAGTGATTAGACGGTAAACTAGGTAATGTTCAGAGAATATGACAACTAGGCAGTGCCAAAATGGCTTAAGATCATTCCATTTTGGCCTTACTCTTTCAGGTCTGAACGAAACAAGACAGGCACTAAGACATCAGTCAGAGACAAAGCTCGACCTTTAAGGAAAGCTAATATGTTGGTTTTGGTTAGTTTGTTCTGGAGTGCAAGAGCATAGCAGAGCTTCCCGGTTCAAGCTGGGACTACAGGTGTGCGCCACCATGCCAGGCTAATTTTTTTCATGTTTGTAGAGATGAGGTCTTGCTATGTCACCTAGACTGTTCTTGAACTCCTGGGCTCAATCAGTCTGCTCACTTTGGCCTTTCAAATTGCTGGGATTATAGGCATAAGTCACCAAGCCAGCTTCCTTTCTACTTAATTTTTTAAAAAAAGTAACATATTGTGTCCACTAAATTGCATGCTGTTTTCTTACATGGGAGGAAATTAGAGAGCTTTTTGCTCTGTACAGGTGAGAGAATGCCAGACACTCATGCTCTTGCTGATCATCAGCTCACTGCTGAACATTACACTGGAACAATAGAGCAGGAAAACGATTTCCACAGGGGAGTTATTTGCCTGCAGCTAAAGGAGTATTTGCATACAGCAAACATTGTGTCACACGGAAGCCTTTTTCCCCTTACCATGCCCAACCAGAACTCTGTCCCCTCATCCCATCTGACTGTCCAGCCTCCAGTGGAGACCCCAGGCAAAGGTGTCTCCAAGGATCATTTCGTTCATGTTCTGATTCCCTCAATAGGCAAACACTTATCTCTTTTCTATTCTATATGTTCAACTCCCCAGGCAGCTGGCCACTTGGATCACAGGTCCCATGTGCTTGCTGACTTCGGCTACTCCTGGCACAGGGCAAGCTATTTCAAGTGGGAGCATGTTTTCTATTTGCATTTGCAAGTTTGTGACTGTTGTTCCAGTTGGGGGGCAATCTGGTCTTTTCAGTGTCATTTTTATTACACACACACGCTGTACCAGGCCCCATGCTTGATGGAGGATCGGGAAGGGGGTCACAAAGAAAAATCAAGATATGTTCCCTGCCCTCAAGCAATAGCCCGGTAGAGACCACCAAGACCCAAATACCATAGTAAGTGCCACCACAAAGGTACGGATAGACAGCTAAGGAAGGACGCATGCAGAGGTAATGAATTCTTCCTAGAGAGTCACAAAAAGCAGCCGGGAACTGATGTTTTCTTTGGGCTTTTCAGAGTATGAAGAGTTTGCAAAGTAGACAGGGAATGGCAACCCAACCAGAGCCACTGGAAGACCATGAGGTGAGCTAGTGTGTCAACAATCCAAATAGACATCCAGGGTGTCAAGATGGGGGTGGCTTTTCTGTCATAGGGAGGAGTTTCCAGGCAGGAAAAACAGGGCCATGTTATAAAAGATCTGCTGGCAATGAGGACTGTGGAGATTTTTCTATAGGCAATGGAGGTCTTATAGAAAGGTGTGTGCTCAGATCAGATTTGTATCTGGAACATAATTCCAAAGGAACTGTGAGCCCTGTGTTAGAAGGTTTTATTGACAACTTGGGAACCTTCTGAGGAGCTGCATTATACACCATCCATCTTCATGTCATGGCTGCCTGGTCTCTCTCCCTCTTCTATCCAGGCTCCTCAGTCCTGGGAAGTTCCAGATTCTTATCCTTTTATTATGCAGAGCAGCTTCTTCACTTCTCAGGTCTTAGTCCCACCTAGCCAGCACTCAAGCCTGCAGGGGCTCACATTTATTGGTTAAATAATTACCAATAATTGCCTTGGTAATTATTTAACATATATGTGAGCCCCTGCAGGCTTGAGTGCTGGCTAGGTGGCACTAAATTACTAACACACACACAAAAAAGTGGTTATTTTCCTAAGAGAAATTCTGGTATCAGCTGCAGAAAGTAATATAAATTTTTCTATCTCCTCACACACGAGTCCTCTATAATATCAGCAACATTTTCAATATCGTATACATAATAGAAATTATCTGTGAAACAGAACTGTGCTTGAGAAGTACAAGGCAGTATTCTCCAAATCATTTCAGCATTTCAACATTCAAGGTAAAAATAACTACAGGAAACATCATTAAACTGATTTTTAAAAAAGGTTTATTTGTTACAAAATGTTAAATACTAAAACTAAAAACATATAAATTCAGGTCAGGCTATATTAAAATACACACATACCCTTCTTTGCAAAATTATTAAAGGTTGAATTACACCGATCTTTAAATAAAATAAAGTACTCTTTGAGGATTTTTGTCCGATTAACTATTCAGTGTAGTGTAATTTTAAAATTGCAGTTGAAAAGTTTAGCTGTCTTGGAAGTCAGATTTTTCCAATTCTTCAGCCTTCTGCTGCTACCCAATAGGAAGCCACCATGCTGGCTTGGACAGTGTTAATTGCAGTTACACTGCTCAAAGTTCCGTATTACAAATCTAGTTTCCTCTAATATGAACACAGAGTAGTCAAAAGTATACAAAGGGTTAAATAGGGTGAAAACCTGGCCCAGAAAGAAAAGGCCTTGGCTCTACTGATACTGTGTTGTCTCTAATTAAAATGATTGGCCAATACATGGAAGCAGAGATCAGCATGAAGCACACACCCATCTAGAAATAATCTTTCCATTAAAAAAACAAACAAACAAACTCAACACTAGCACTCATTTCTCCACGATAGTTCATTAGCATTTAAAAAATTTCTTGTTATTTTTAATTGAGTTAATTTAAAGCTATAGAAACATCTACATCCAAGTGAATTTAAACATGAATTGGATTTCTGCCCTGACTAGCTCTGGTGAGTTGTGACCTCTGGGGGTCTGAGTCACGCCCAGGTGGTAAAGAGCTTCCATAACAAAATTAAGTGCTCCAGTCAACAGCACCAGCCTTCAACTCCAACACCCACTCAGGCCTACCAACCTAAGAGAGCCATTGACAGTCTATTAAAACATTTCATAGTATTCTCAAGAAAATACTTTATTTTGCTTCACAACTTGTATTTTTCAGTTTTCTAGATTGAAAGTTACTGATTTAGGATTTTAAATGATGTAATTCGCATACAGGTGAGAATACACTTATGGAGAACAGAAGGTTATTGTTGCATTTGAAAAGTTCTTAAAGGTGAATGAATTTCTAGACATCTACCAGAGTCTATTCTTTACCATGCTAATCCTTGTCAAATGGGATTTACCAGTAGTTGATTAACTCAGGTGACTAAAATACAAAAAATATAATTCTAGTACTCTTCAATGACACAGTATAATTAAAATCAGGTTTCTTGGAACATATCTATAGGGAATTTTTACTGGTTCACTCTGACAATGTTGGTATACATACAAGGGCTAACTGTGTGGTGCCTAATACTATTGTATGAAACTGTTTAATCAATTCTTTGAAAAGTTGGGAAAACTGTGAATACTCTAAAGTCACTGGAAATTCAAAGAAAAATGTATTCCAAGGCTGAATTACAGATGAAAATAATGCTCACAATAACTTAGTAATCTGTTTTTATCTGGGAATCTCTGTGCTTGTGAGTTTCTGATGTAATTATTTCTGTATACATGTGATAAGAGAAAACCTAGCTCTGTCTTCTATCTCAGTCCATTCTCTCTACATGTAACAAGACTGATTTATATCCTGTCTTTATTACTGAGTAATCTTGAAGGATAAGATTCATGCTACTCCTTATCAGATAGCCTTGTGGTCCTTGGAGAGAACTCAAACAAGCCTGACATCCTGATCTTAGTGTACACACACACACACACACACACACACACACACACACACACACACACGTCTTGAATCTTTGATAGCAAATTTTCTCTAGAGAATCTTTTCATGTGAGCATTTTTATAAGCGGGTATTAAAATCAGGCTGGCCAGTCACTCTTATCAGCATCCTGGTCTTACAAAATGATCAAGAAAGTGTTTGTTCATTTGTGACAGAGCCAGAACTGTGAGTGTTTTAAAGCTGAGACAATACAATGTGTTTCTCCCTGGCCAGCCTCGTTGGCAGTGGAGGTCCTGGGTGGTGCTGACCTTCCAGAGGCAGAACCTCCACTATGCCCTCTTCCCTTCAGCAAGCTTCCTTGTCCTCCCTTGGTATCGAGTGTCTCTTTTCTGCTTTCAGAGAGAAAGATGTTGAGCAACAGATGTAGCATATTTCCTGCCAGGAAGTAGACATAATTTTGGAGGACCAGTGCAAAGTAAAAACGAAGGGTCTTTCTTCAAACATTATTAAGAGTTTCGAGACAGTGACAGCATAGTTTTGAACCAAGCACATGGTCCTTCTAAGTGTGGTGCCCTGTGTGACGACACAAGTTACAAGCCGAGAAAACCAGCCCTGTTTAGGTGTGCTGCCTAACCAGAATCCCACAAAGGACACAAGGTGGCTCAGCTGGGTTGTCCGGATGAAAGACAGAATTCTTTTTCATAATGATTCAAACACTGTCACCAATTGTGAACCAAGTGACATTTCACTTTCCAAATCACAGGCAAATTTCTAATTTTAAAACCTCACATTGGACTGATTAGTTTTCCCCTAGATTCCTCATTATAGAAATAGTTATACGGGGTTTTTAAATGCCTCTTACTTTAATAGAGTAGTTAGTCAGACATGATGAAATGTCTGTATAATCCTATATGATTTAAAAAAAAAAAAATTTAAGCATCTAATTGGGAGGGGGTCTTAATATCACTAAAGCAACAGGACATCTTACAAGGAACACACAGCTGTACGACAGCTTTAGATTCTAGGGTGAAGCCTTAGTTTTAGTCTATGGTATGTCTTATTCCCTTTCAAGACCACAATAGTAGCTTTTTCAAAGGGAACTAATAAACATATTAAGCTGTATGGCAATTTTTTTAACGCCCATATTGGTTTAGGTCATAAGAATTTTACTGGAACCCAGAGGTATCCCATTTTTCATAATAAAAAACATGTATATAAAAGCTCCAAGTTACATTATTAAGCAACGACACTTCCGGGAGTGAATATACTTCCTGTATTCCGCAAGTTGCTTCAAGTACATATTCGAAGGCCATCTGTGCTTTTCAACAAAGCTGCGTTCTTCCACTATTTTAAGAAAAAAGAATGTTAATTGAATATATTTTATTTTAGATCAAGATAAGCTATCAGCTATTGATTTCTTCTCTAATAGATGAGATCAAACTCTGTTATACACCCCCTACCCTTTCCTCAAAACTTCCAAAATAATTTAATACCATCTTGGTTGTAGCAGTCATCAAGATTTCAGTTATTATGTGATTTACAATTATATACATTTTTTCCACTGCTTCATCAGAGAGTAACTGATTGTTTTCCTTTTCTTTTTCAATAAAGCTTTTGTTTTTCCTGGTGATAACTAACTCTTTTTTTTCATTTACTGAGTTTTCTTGAGTCAGTAGCTGACTCAACCTTCCAAACTCTTTGAAGTTCCCTCAGTTCTATTTCTCACCTAACCACAGCTATCAGACCATCTCTGCATTCCTGCTGTTGCAACTGCTGCTGCCCAGGGAACCCGCCTTCTTATTACAGGCTGCAACCTCTTGTTTTCTAGACCTGCTCCATCCCTTGTTGTTGGATCCCTCCATTCCTGAATTATAGGTCCTTCATTTTGTTTATTCTCTAGTTTGGGTGAAGTCCAACCTTCATTAGTTTCCTAAAAAAGGGGAATTTAGGAAGGATTTTTGAGAACTTGTTTGTGATGAAATATCATCAGTTTTTCTTCTCACATGATTGGTCATTTGGTTTAGTACAGAATTCTAGGTTGAACCTCCTCTCAGAACGTTGAAGACAGTACTCTACTGTTTTCTAGTTTCCATGGTTGGGAAGAACTCCACTGCCATTCGGATTCATAGTCTTTAGTAGGTGATCTGTGGAATTTCAATCCTGAAAACTTAGATTTTTCTATTTATACTCAGCTTTCTTGTAGTACCAATGATATCCCTTGTACATTCATTAAGCAGAGAACTAAGCAAATCCTTTCAATCTGTTGACTCCAGTCCTTCAGTACTGGGATAACTTTCTTGTATAATTTCTTTGACTGTTTCCTCCTCACTGTTTTTTTTTTTTCTTCCTATTTGCACTTCTAGTAGTCAGATACTGCACCTTCTGGATTTAGTTTTCAATTTAAGAAAAAAAACCTTTTTCTCAAAGTCTTTTTGTCCTACTTCCTGGGAGATTTTCTTACCTTTATCTTTTAATTTATTATTATTATTATTGCTGTCAGATTTTTAATTTCCCAAAACAGCTTTTTTCTTTTATTGTTTTTAGTTGTTGTAGTAAAATACATATAACAAAATTTTCCATGTTGACTAATTTTAAAGGAACAGTCCAGTAGTGTTAAGCACATTCACATTGTTATACAGCCAATCTCCAGAACTCTTTTCAACTTGAAAAACGAAAACTCTGTATCCATTAATTAACAACACCATCTTTTCCTCTCATCCTAGCCTCTGGCATCCACCATTTTACTTTCTATCTCTCTATGAATGTTATTTCTTTGTAAAACGTTCTAGTCCTACTTTATGGATAGATATCTCTTATTCTTTGGGGAGGGAGGTTGTAGGTTTTTCTTCTTCTATATCTCTGTTCCTAACTTCATTTTCTTCTTCATTTATTTATTTTGTTTCATGTTTGCTACCTATCTTTCATGTCAGAGACTGCTTCAAATATCTGCTGATCTTCAATGATCTTTTAAATTTAAGAGTGGGATACTGGAAAGTTCTTTGGAAACCTTTCAGACATGGGTAGGACCTGCTGACTGGTGGACTATGTGATTGAGCACGTATTTACTGGGCTCACTAAGAGAATTCTCAGTGATTGTACCTGTGCATTTTTCTCTGTGGCCAGAGAAGGATGCTTTAGTTTTATTCCCAGGGTATGGGAGTCAGGTGGCAAATACCTAACTGCCAGAATTCTAGAACTTGGATATGGAAAGGTAGACAGAGTTTCACTAAATAAAGTGCACAGTTTCGCAGAAGCCTCACACTTCAGTCCAGCTCCTCACTTCTGATCTTAGCCATATCCAGAGTATGGTTAACATTTTTTGGCTTAATTTCTCCAGAAACAAACCTCCCTTCCATCTCCTGTAAAGACAGGGAAGCAACAGCCTGCCTGGGCGAAGTGGGATGTAGCAAAAGCTGCTTCTCCTTTTTTTTCTTTTTGAGTCAGAGTCTCACTCTGTTGCTCAGAGTGGAGTGCAGTAGCGCCATCATGGCTCACTGCAGCCTCAACCTCTTGGGCTCAGGCCATCCTCCTTCCTCAGCCTCCCAAGTAGCTTGGGACTATAGAAGTGTGCCACCGTGCCGGGCTAATTCTTTATTTTTTGTAGAGACAAGGTCTCATTATGTTTCCCAGGCTGGTCTCAAACTCCTGGGTTCAAGCAATCCTCTCACCTCAGCCCCCCAAAATGCTGGGATTACAGGCATGAGCCATCACTCCCAGAGGGCAAAAGCTTCGTAATCAACATTCAACTAATTCTACTGCTTTCAGCCCTAAGCCTCATCCTGGCTTCTGAAACACCTGGCACCTCACCTTTCTAAGGCTCTTCTGGGATTCTGTTGGGTAAATCAGCTTGTTTTTCATCAGTATCTCCTCCTGCAGGTACTTAGGTTTCCTGTTACTAAATCAGTTTCTATTTCCCTATCTACCGTTTAACCTCATCTCTTATATAGATTAACAAGGTTTTGCTCCAAGCTTCAGGACCTGGATAAAAGGAAACAAGCTAGCTGCTTAGGGAAATCAGTGCTAAATTTCATTAGGAAGCAAAGATAACATGAGACAACTGCCTTTGGATGAAAAAAACGAGAAAAGTTATGACAGATGAGCTCTGGCAGTTAGAAAAAATGAAAACAAAGAAAACCCCCATAATATACAATACAAAATACAATATGGAGCTAAATTAAACTAACCGTGAGACTAAAGAATCCATAAATGCCAAGGGTAACATGTTCCTGTGCATCGCTATTTGTTTCCACGTGTCTAGTACATAAAACTCTAATATTTAACTATGTAAATGGGTCCTTATGTATCCACGACTGCATTAACATGAGATCTTTTCCAGTCTCACTTTTTGATTTCTAAACACCTCTAAAAAAGGAAAAATTTTCTGCCAAGAGAAAACAATGTGTTGAAGTCCAATAATAATTTGATAACTTTTGAAACCGAAAATGAGTGATTCTACAAGGAAGCTGTAAAGTAATTGTGATAAGACCCTTTCCCAACTTCAAGTGACCATGGGAAGTGGACCAGGTATAAGGCAATAGAGAGGAGAGGTGACTGTGGGCTTCTACAGAGGGCACAGTCCTTTTTGTGGGCAGTCACTGCCCAGCTCCAGAATGCTGCCATGTGGGACAGGCCCAGAGCAGCCAGATTGTCCAACTTTTTGAAAGAGACCATACATCGAATTTCAAAATGCCAACACTATATACTTTAAAAAAAATACTGTGTGATCCAAGGAAGCCCTTTGGCAGGCTATATGTAATCCACAGACTGCCAGTTTGTAACTGCTGATTTAGGCAAATTCTCCCTTATCCAAAGGCACTGTTTTTCTCTGCTTAAGAGGATGTCACATCACAGCAAGTTCCTGGAGATGAACAGGCACTGAGGAATGAGAACCCTCCTGACTCCCCCGCCTTATGTTTCTGAGTCGGAGTCTCACTCTGTCACCCAGGTGAAAGTGCAGTGGCATTATCATGGCTCACCACAGCTTCAACCTCCTGGGCTTAGGTGATCCTTCCCCGTCTCCTGAGTAGCTGGGACTATGGGCACGTGCCACCACAAATAGCTAATTTTTTTTTTTTTTTTTGTAGAAACAAGGTTTCACTATGTTGCCCAGGCTGGTCTCAAACTCCTGGGATCGAGAGATTCTCCTGCCTCGGCCTCCCAAAGTGCTGGGATTACAGGTGTGAGCCACCATGCCCGCTGATTCTCTTAATATCCATCAAAGGAACAGAACAGTACACTGCCACAGCCTGAGCTCTGCAGCCTGTCATCTCACGTGACATCCTAGAGCCCTGCTTGTCACCACCAGGTGGTCATAACATACTTAAGAGGCAACTGGGTAAGTAATAAAATATAATAAAACTTAATTGATAGAGCATCCTTCTCTCAAGCTTATAATAGTACACCATATATCTCTACAAGACAGCAAGTGGAAAATAATCTTACTCTTCTTGTACATGTAAAGGTGACCTGCGATAGCATAATAAAAGTGGCTGTGAGAGACATTGCCTTGCTAGACTGTGTGTGGCCATGTGCTCTTTGAGCTATGGTTGTTGCTATGCTTCCTGGCTTTGGTCCCCTCCCCCACCTTGGGGAGGTGAATTTTCTCTCTCCCTTCTCTTTCTCTCTCTAATTTACTTTTAAATAAACTTTTCCTTTTTAAAAGAAAAAAAAAGAAAGTGACTCTGAGACCAAAGTGAAGTTCATTTAACTTTTAGCTGGCTTCTTAAATCACTAAGTAAGAATGTCCCTTTTAACCAACAGCAAGCAGAAGCATGCCTTATCTTTATGCATGGACTTTGTTTTTTTCTTGCTCAAGTAGATAATAAATACCTGTTGTTTTGTTTTGATGTGATTAAGTTTCTCTACTGTACTCATAGTTGAGTTCTATGTAAGGAGGCTCCCAATAAGCATGCAATGTTGACTGGCTGAATATAACTGCCACAAACTGTGCGTTCCTTGGTTTCCTTAACGTAGAGTGAGTAGCTGAATGATACTAAGAGATTTATTTACACACACACACACACACAAACACACACAAACACACACGTAACATTTATTTATTTATTTGGATCTCACTATGTTGCCCAGGCTGGACTCAAACTTCTAGGTTCAAGTGGTCCTTCAGCCTCAGCCTCCTGAGTAGCTGGTTCTACACAGACTTGCACCACCACACCTGGCTAACTTTTACATCTTTTACCAGATAATTTTTTCTTTTTTTTTTTTTTGAGTTGGAGTCTCACTCTTTCGCCCAGACTGGAGGGCAGTGGCATGCTCCTGGTCACTGCAGCCACGCCCTGCTGGGCTCCAGCGATCTTTCCGCCTCAGCCTTCCAAGTGGCCGGAACTACGGGCATGTGCTACCACACCCGGCTAATTTTTGATTTGTTGTAGAGATGAGGTCTCGCCAAGGAGAATCTTTTTTACAAAGTAAAATATATGTAGAATCCTTAAGATATAGAGCAGAAAAATGTGGAACTGCTGAGGATCGAAGGAGGGAGAGAAGGCCCCAGAGCTGTCAATTTTAGCCTTTTCTTCCCCTTCCCGTTCTTTGACTCCTCTCCTCATTGACTCTCTATTTTCTGCCCCTATCCCAGAAGACCTTCAGGGATTTCCACAGTGGCTTCTTTGTCCAGAGTTTGAAACTACCTGACTAGGTACTTTTCATTTCCTTTTAGCTTGATTTTTCCTTGTGTCTATGCTAGGTATTCAAGAGCTGACCACTATATCTAAACGACCATTATACTTTCATTTTTTTCTTCTTACACAGTCAGTATTCAGAAGCTCACCCTTTGATTAGTTTTCAACTTTATGATTTACCTTGAAAATCACATTATATGACTGTCATTAAATTCCACAACACTATTTAATACATAAAAAAGTATTATCTCAAAGTAATCTAGTGAACTTCTATATAGATGAATAAATTAATAAATATAGATATCTAGTATAATGAAATTATTTATTGTATAGTTATCAACAGTGAAATTTTTTTATAAGAAAAACATTTTAAACTTTGCTTCTGACTTAGGTAGTTAAAACTAAGATACTGTTTATCACAACCAGAGGTCACCTGAGGACACTTCACCACCTTCTCTCTATTTCGGGGGGGGAGCGGGCAAAGCATTTAAAAATGGACGGCAGCTATAAAATAATCATTAGAAAACGTCTTGTGTAACACAGGTCAAGCTGCTTATGTAACACAGGTGACCATAAATTGTGTCCTCAACTGGCACATTACATAATTCGAAAGAAATGTTTACATTGACATTTCTTACCTTGTTAAAACTGCTATTTCAGATTTTAAAAGTTCTATTGGAGTTACCTTTATCGTTTTATGCGACATAATTAGACTTCCACTTATAAAACTTAAAAAAAGACTCGCTATACAAATGATATCTCAAATCTAAGAACAAAGAACATAAAGTTTTCTTTTCAAAACAGAAATTGACAATCTACCTGAAAGATCCTGAAATTCAGGCTTTTGACTGAAGATGAGGTAGTTAGTGGCAATGAAATGAAGGAGCCAGGTTGAAAGGCAATCGGAGTGGTGAAACTGCAAGAAAAATGAGAAGTGAGACAGCACTGCATGTAGCGACCATGAATATGATGACCAGGCTGAGAGAATGGCCTGGGGGAATAATCATGGAGTGCTCGTATCCGAGTTTAATATGTCTACACAGGATGCAGCCTTCAGCTACCATGATGGTAGAAAGGAATAGGAAGCATTATTAACAAATCATATTATAAATACACCATTCAGTGAAGAAACAGAAAAAACAAGCTCCCACTGCTGGGCTGGCCAAACATCTTTAAGCAGATGCACGACTGTGTGTGTTCAAGGTTTCTGAGGATTTAATTCAAGCTTTTAATCTAAGGCCATGAACTTTACCACCTGTACCTGTGTCTGCATAGCAGGGTAAGGTGAGCAATAAATATCTTAACAAGTTTACCTTGGGAGTCAACCAAAAAATATTTTGAGAAAGAAACATCATTGGCCTAAGGGTGTGGGTTTCAAATGTGTAAATATTCCTAAGAGGAAGTTATATCCAAATAGTTGCTTTATTTTTTTTTTGAGTTGGATTCTCACTCTGTCACCCAGACTGGAGTGCAGTGGCACGCTCCCAGCCTCCGCAGCCTCGACCTGCTGGGCTCCGGCGATCCTTCCGCCTCAGCCTTCCAGGTAGCTGGAACTACAGGCATGCGCTACCACACCTGGCTAATTTTTTGATTTGTTGTAGAGATGAGGTCTCGCCAAGTTGCCCAGGCAGGTCTCAAACCCGCGGGCTCAGGCAATCCACTCACCTCAGCCTCCCAAAGTGCGGGATTACAGGCTGTTAACGGGATGTAAGGTTAGCCTGAGTAGGATTTCCAGCTCCATCCTCCTCATTCTGAGTTCCAATGGCTGCTCAGGAGCGAAATCTCAGAGCAACCTGCTCCCCTGACATTATTACTTGGTGATACTGTGACACTCACAGCTCCATCCAACCACTAAGGCAGATTACAGGAACTTGCGAAGTTCCTGTTATGATATACATAGCATAAGATTCACCATGTGAATCATCTTTAAGCATACAGGTGAGTGGCATTAAGTGCATTCACATGTAGGCAACTAACATCACTGTTTCTAGATCTTTTCTATCGCCCCCAAAGGAAATTCTGTACCCATTAAACAATTCCCCTTTTCTCCTTACCCCCCAGGTACTTGCAACCACTATTCTACTTTGTCTCTCATTATTTGACTGTTCTAGGTAACACTTACAAGTGAAATTGTACAATATTTGTCCTTTAGTGTATGGCTTATTTTACTTAGTCTAACGTCTTCCACGTAGTTCCATGTAGGTTCATCCATGTAGTAGTATATATCAAAATTTCATTTATTTTATTTTAGTTTAAACATTTTTTGTAGAGATGAGGTCTTACTATGTTGCCCAGGCTGGTCTCGAATTCCTGGTCACAGGCAATACTTCCACCACAGCCTTCCACACACCAAAGTGCTACGGTTATAGGCATGAACCACGGCACCAGCCTCCTTTTCAAGGCTTAAAACTATTTCATTATATGTATATACCACATTATCCATTCATCTCCAATGGACACTTAGGTTATTTCCACCTTTGGGCTAAGCATAGCTCTTTTAAGGAGACCCAAAAATATTAAACAAGCAGTGAGTAATACTAAATTGAAGAGAGATTTGTAGTCTCAAATCTTAAGGCAAAAACTCAAGGATCTGCTGCTTACTTGTTTCGTTTGTTTGGTGGCAGCGGGGGGGTGTCTCAGTTATCTGCTTATCCATAGCCTGGATGATTCCAGGCTATGCAGTGGCACAGTTATATGGCTCACCACAGCCTTGACCTCTGGGCTCAGGAGATTCTTCTGCCTCAATCTCCTGAGTAGCTGGGACTATAGATGTGTGCCACCACGCCCAGCTAGTTTGTTATATTGCCTAGGCTGGTCTCAAACTCCTGGACTCAAGCAATCTTCCTGCCTTAGTCTACCAAAGTGCTAGAATTACAGGTGTGAGCCTCCGTGCCTGGCCGGTTTGTTCTTTTAAAAAGTTTATACAGTGTGAGAATATGTTAACATGTCAATTCTTTTTTTTTTTTTTGAGTTGGAGTCTCACTCTGTCGCCCAGACTGGAGTGCA